GCCTGTCACCTCAGCACAAACGCGGGTGGTAATCACCTCTTCGTCATAGCAGCTAGGTGCTGTTTTTGTGATCCCAATGGTGGAAGGACAGCTTTAATAATTTGTAGGTACAAGGACAGGCATACGCTTTAGATTAATGACAGTTGGATGGTCAGTGATGATGGCTGCTTAGCTCACAGGAATGGTGATTAGGAAGTGGAGTATGGATGTTTGTGTTGATTGCTTTCCAGATGAGCATCTTGTGCAATTGTCTGTTTCATGTAAACAGGCCCAGGCGTGTCTAAGTGCAAATCTAGTGAGAGGTTCCAACAGACAAAAGGGGGAAAAAAAGAAAAGTTAAAAGAAAACCACATTGCCCGTCCACAAGCTGTCATCATTGATGAAAGATGAAAAACAAGTTGAACAAACCCACACATCATAAAGTGAACTTAGTCAAGCCCTAATTATTAAAGAAGAATTGTGCTCCTTTTGACGTAACCAAAGCAAGCACAGACTAAACAGGCTGCAAGGAGCCAGCACACAATGCAAGTGAAATGCCAAACCCTTCAATGGCCTGAAGGCAGATACATTGTTGTGCCCCATTAACTATGAAGTTTCTCTAAAAATTACTATGGAAAAATATCAGTGTCCTTTGCCACTTGTTCTCTGCCCTGAGAATGGGATGAACATTCCCACATGGAGAGCACAGTTCACTCAGACATGTACACAAGCACATCCAGTACGCATACAAAGTCACAGCACCCTGACTGTCAAAAATATTGACAGACTGCAATTGTTTCAAGGACTAAAGCAAACAAATGATATCATTATCTCAAAGCACTCTCGCTTGAATATTATTACCATATTAGTGGGAGGTGTTTGGCATTTGTGCCTTCCATAGCTATGGACTCTCTAGTGAGAAAGAAAAGAGCTCATTGTTCTGAATTACTCTCATGTGTCTGACAGTTTCACCAACAAACATGCAAAGTCACAGTCATCAAGTCACGTAGCAGTTTTTGGTACTTTTGCCATCTGAAACTGAAACAGCATCAGGAATACCTGGGTACATTTCTAGTCAAGGCAGTCAGTGAGGGCCCTCCTCTGTGCTGCTCATGTTTTAAAGCACCGGTACAAGAGGCATACAAATGATCATGCAGAAACATGATGGGAGCAGAAGGAAGGCTGTAATACAGGGTCCCCATGGCAACCACACAAAACGGCATGCGCTCACCATGGTAACAGAGCTGGAGAGGGAATAGAAAGGCGACGGCAGCGGAGCTGGCACTGGCCTTTGGCTGTTTGAATGATACTGTAAATGTACACTGAAACATAAACACTACATCACATCTGCAAATAAATACTGGTACTGACACAATTGTACATTAAATAAATGGAAAATGATTCTATATCAGATCTTTAATTTAAACCTGCATTAGTCAATATTTTTATATTAATAATGGACCAAATGACTACATTTGATAAAGTAACATACTATATAGAGATAGCACCCACCTCTATAGTTTACCTAATCTCTGTGGAGCATTTTACCAGCTTTAAGCTCTTTGTTTTGGTCTCTTCTCAAAGCTCTCGTCAACCTTGTTTCCAGCCGCAACTGTTTATAGCAGAGGTTTCGACCATCATTCTGACTAAAAAGTAACCTGAAGACCACTGTTGTGGGGCGGATAGACCAGATGGGCACTGTTTTAATCGTGAAAATCACCTTGTGTTTTCTAAATTTTATATATTTGCATGGATATAAATATTCACAAGCAATAAGTAATGCATGCATGGAAATGTTTTATTAATAATAATAATAATAACTACATTATTAAATGCATTCTAATGGACAACCTTCGTGGACCACCAGGGGGTCCGTGGACCAATGGTTGAAAACTCAGGTTTGTCAGTGTCAATGTCAATGTATTTGTAAAGAATATAACTGTGCAAAAAGCTGAAACCATTGTACAGTACCTGCTCAGCACCAAATGGTAGACAAATAAAATGAGCAACTATCACTGGCAAAGTGAAGCATTTAGCAGCTAAAGGGCTAAATATTTTTTCTCAGGAGCTGCTGAAACAGTGAAAAAACAAGAGTGAATATTGGACTTGCATCTGCCAGGGCTCCAGAAATATGGCTCTAAATAGTCTCATGTCAGCTGGAGTATTTACTAACAGACTCACCATATGTGATATCTTTTGTAAAGATCTTGTTTCACAAGACAAATAATGCTGCTTTAAAGTAGTGGTTATTTTGTGAGACAGACTTAACCACTTTCTTTGAGTTAGATGAGAAGAACCACTCTCATGTTTGTCACACATGATGCTACAGCCAGCGGCAGGTAATTTTAGCTTAGAATGTAGACTTGAAACGATATAAACATCAGTTTATATCGGGGTTGTGCTTCGGTGTTGGCCCTAAATAAAATAAAAGACAATCTATTTGCAAAAGAAATGCATAATAAATTTGCACAGAGACCTCTCTGTTCCTATACAATGACAAATACTATATACAGTGAAAAACAACCCAGGGCAGCTGTTGATGCCTGAAGACCACAGTCGCTGTACTGTAAATATTAATGGTTTCCCTGCCAGCCAACAACAATCCCCCAGAACATACATCATCGTTCTGTTACTGGTGTTGATGCTGCAGGTTAAATACAGGGAAATGCAACCCAGAATAAAAACTTGTTTATGTGAAGTCAAAACCAGTTCCATCACATGCGGACATGCATCAAGATACATTATTTACCCTAATTTAGAAATACAAATTATTAAAATGAGGCATGATTAATGCTGCACATTAAACGGGCCTTTTACAAAAGAATTTCTTTACAGAGGTTGGTTGTCATTGAAGATTTTTTTTTTCCTCTTTAATCATTGTCCTTAATTAAACACTGCAACAGAAAGGCACGGATATTAATCACTCTGGTTTAAGCTGCTTTTGCTCCACTTGACTGGGTGTGACGTCACCTGACATGGATGGACTGTGTCACCCTGAATTCAGGAGACCTTTTAGTAAAAAAAAAAAAAAGAAACAACAAAAAAAAAAACATATTTCTTGAGTGTCTGTAGAAATTCTGATTGCAACATATAAGAAATTAGAAACATAAGGTGCTCAAAGTGTCTGTTTTTCCTTTGTGTTTCAGGTAATTGTTGGCAAACCATGTGTTTTTGAAATAACTTGACTTGAAGATGTGCATAATTTTTCTACACTGATATTCAGCCACCCAGGAGCGAGACTGTCTGCAGGAGCTGTCTGCTCAGTGGAATAATCAGAGCAGGTGGGTGTGGCACAGGACAAACTGGCAATAACATCACATCTTCTGACTCAATGTCTCCATCTAGTGATGAAAGCTAATTCAACATTACAAAAAAACAAGCAAGCAAGTTGAAAAAAGGATGTCTCAAAAAAGCAATTGATCTGTAATGGATTTGTTGGTTTGTTTTTGTCAAATTTCTTTTGCCTGAGAAATGAATACTTCCATTGTAGCCATGTCCTTCAGCCATAAAGTAAGTTTTGGCCAATTTTATTATTTTTTTCTCTAATATCTACTGCATTTTCAGAAATATAAACACAGTATTATGTAAAATGCCACAGCTTAATTGCAGGTTTTACTTTCTCCTTTCCCTGAAGAATGACAAATTTTCTACCATTTTCCAGCTCTCCTATTGAGCATCTAACTAGCTTAGTAGTACAGACAACACTGTAGATTGCTTATCACTTGTACATGCTTGTCATAATGAATACCTCCGATGGGTCGCAAATATTAGTCAGCAAGTTCATTTATTCCACAGATCAAATAGGATTCATTACACTTCATGTTGTCCATGCACCGACTCCCTCGTCACACCAATACACTATTACATCACTCTCAAAATATAAACACACAGATGAGACTCATATCTCAGTGGTCATATATTATTAATAATATGCACAAAATATAAAACTAGCATCTCTTTTACATCAATACACAGTGGCTGCAATATTACTTCTGTTGAACAAACTGTTTGCACATTTATATATACAAAGTAGTTACTATGCAGTGCATAGTCACCGTCGTTTTCTCTTGCAACATATTGCATAATAAATATCATCAGACATTTAAGACTTGCTATGAATCAGACATGTGCTGGTTGAGAAAAGAGTCGAGCTCAGTAAAAACAAAATAAATAAAACCTTGAGTGTGAGCATATTGCAAGCGAGAGCATGAAATCATAAATGAAACAATCAAGGGTGTGAAACACAGCCTCCTTGAAGGGCTACTGTGCATCTGTGTATGTGCACTCGTGTCTGTAAAAATGACTAGATACAACCCATGTCTCTTATATCACTGCTCCTCAACCTAGAGCGACCTCTGGGTCAAGCAAGAAATGGGGGAATCCTGGAGGGATAAAGGAGATACAGGTTAAAGGAAACCATAACTCATAGAAGTCTTTTATGGACTAATGTTCTTTTATTAGAGGTCAATTGTGATTGCATGTTTCAGATGATGGATAAAAGGAAAGATGCCTAATGTTTTTAAAACTTGTTTTCACAATTTGCCCCTCCTTCCATTTTTTCCTCACATCTTATGTCGCCATGACTAAGAGGCAAGGAAAGGACACAAATGAGGGAAATGTGAATGCAGCTAGCAGAACTGGGATTCACTACGTTTCCCCTCACTTGTGTCTTTTCCTTGTGTCTTAGTCTCATCCACATAAGACGCAAGGACAAACTGCAAGGAGAGAGAAACCAAGGAAACACGTTTTAACTGACATGACGTGATAAAGGGGTGTCAACCCATAACAAACTTCCAAAGAAGGATACACTCGTGTATCCTTAGTCATAGCTCCTCCAGGCAGCCTCCTCACTCCTCAGAGCAGAAATAAGAGCTTTGGGACATCTTTCATCATGGCGTACCGGAACAACTTCCGGGTTGATCAAGGAATGAGGAATGATAAAATATGGGGATCGGGATTCACCTAGTGATGCATACAAGACACTTGGGATGGACTCACCATGTCAATAACAGAGTAAGTGGCCTCGCAGACCTTGAGACCAGTAAGTTCTCAAATTAAAGTAGGTTATATTGTTCAGAGAATCATAAATTTTAAGGTCATAATTGTGACCTCTACACCTCCTCATGGAGCTAATTATAACCTTTAGTTAGGTGCTGACACCTACTTTCACTATTATCTCAGTGAAAAACAAAAACTGTCCAAGCGCGGACAGTCTGAAATCCTTAACAAAAAGTAGTTCACTCAATCCAGTACAAGACAAAAAAAAAGATGATATACAGCAATGTTCTTAGATCCACTGTTTTAAAAACCTTGTGCACCTTCTTTTTAAAATCAGTTTTCCATGTCATATGTGTCATCATTAACCAGAGCAGGATGGCACTTACGAAGTAGCCATTTCTCTAGCCGAGTGGCAGTATGTGACTACTGTATTACACATACCTCCAAGTTCAAATCCATGGGGAGACTGTGTGGGATCTCAGCTGATTTGTGTGCTTCTGCATCAGTTGTTTTAAAAAAATCACCCATACTTCCTTTATCCATGTATACATGTATTTCCTCCACTGGACTAAATACTGGTGTTTTTAAGATGTACTGTGAGTTAAGCTCTGATCTGTTTCATATCTGCATAGCAATCCCCCTGGAGTTAGAGGTCTAACTTATCTGCCTTGAACAATGACGCCTGCTTCACACTACAACAGCAATCAGAAAGTTATGACAAATGTCTCCAGATGTCTCTGTGCTTCACACTTCTTCATTAATCAGCCTCCTATTAGGCTCATCTCAGGGCAAGACAGCCTAACAATGCTCTTCAGGTAGTAGTGGCACAGCCATCAGATTATCTGTACGAATTTTGTAGAGGTAATCTATTCCATCATTCTCTCCAGTAGTTCTTCCTGTTTTGCTTTTTACTCCTCTGCTTTGGTTGCTCCCCTTCCTGCTTTTTCTCTCTGCCCTCATTCACCTGTTTTTCCTCACTGAGCTCTGTCTCCCTCAGTGTTGCAACAGGAAGTTGGTTGCCATGTTGATGTCATTGTTTGAAGCTCTGAGAGCCTCAAGGGCATCAATCCTGGAAAAGCCCATTTCCACCAACCGTGCAACCTATGGGGCAAAAGGTGGGGGGAATCAGCTGAGATGTCAGCTATGACAGCAACAGCTGATAAGTTGGAAATATTCCTTTGTTTTGGTTAGTAGTCTGTCTATGATGATACTATGAGTCATCCAGGTCATAAATTGTCATTTTATGAAACATTTTACCTAACTGATATTACATATTCACATCAAGGCACATGTGTCCAAATATGCACAGAAACACACAAGCAAACACCCACCTGTTCCTCTGCGACAGTAGAGTTGTCCAATACTGGTGGCTGTATGGATGGGTGTGTCTGAGCCTGGGGCCAAGGCTGCATCTGGGGGCGGTTCTGTCCTCTGTGTCTGAAGGAGGGGAACAGCCTTGTCCACTGTAACAGCCCAGCCTCCACAAAGACATGGAAGCAGAATCAAGTACTTTTTACATGTGTAGAGACTGTAGTAACTGTTCAACTGCAACTACTGGCATCTGGCATGTTGAACGTGTGTTCGAATGTGAGGGGATCAGACCGTGCATCTGTGTGGTAAAAAGTTTCTGTGTGTATCCACCTACCTGTGGCTGGTGTCTGGTGTTTGTCCTGGCTTCACTGTACTGGGCCAGCAGCAGCTGCTGGTCGAGCAGATCCATCCTCTGCTGCCTCTGGATGTCCAGAGTGGCACCCATCCCCAGGGGTGTCTCACTGCTTGGTTGCGAGCCTTGATGAGCAGAGATGATTATACCACATTAACAGGCAGACAAAAAAACATGTGATACTGTGTAAAGGATGCGTCCATCAAAAAGCAAAGTGCAACATATGGTAATGAAGAAATATTTTTTTTTTTTTTTTTTATTATTCCTCCAGAGTTGGCGACAAGTTCCAATATACACATCAGTTGCTTGTGAGGAGGATAAATATTTTAGATATCCTGCACTTATATTGGAAACCAGAAACAGAGCAATAACCCAACTAGAACCCTGTTATCAGGCTCCATTTCAGTTATGGAACAAGGCTGTATGTGGAATACAACATTGTTAAGCACTGACTATTTAGGCAGGTAAATAACTGTGCAGGACATCAGAGATCAGAGAGGAAGAGCTGGTTAAGACAGCATATTTAATGTAAACAACCTTGGAGTGAATGAAAGGAAAGTAAAGTGTCACCCTGCAAACCCTTCAACACTGATCTCAGAGGATTTACACAAGTTTTGTGTATGTGATTACTAATGGCTAGACTCACTTGAGAAGAGTGGCTCCAGAATATACCGTCCAATACGAGACACCCAGGCAGGTACAAAGAGGAACTTCTGTAACCGGAGAACATTGGAGTGGTACAGTCCTCCTGAGATCTGAAAGGCACATTTATTAAAAAGCAATATATGTATATAGTATGGAAATCACAGGCTTTGCTGTAGATGCATCAAACTTTGGTAGTGCTGGTAGGTAATGAGTAGTGCTGGGCAACGACTAAAATCCTTAATTGCATTAACTGCATGGTTTTCTGTGATTAATCACGATTAACTGCATTGATATGAGCAGCATTCAATAATGAATTACTGGTAATTATGGTTACCCAGCAATGTCCAGTAGTCTCCAGTGAGAGCAACAGTTGGTGTATGTTGTAACGCCATTGCTTTTGTAGTCCTCTCCTTTTCATACAACTCCTGTATTCTTCTTGTGATGGTGCGTCTGGTTCACGTGAGTGCTACAGCAGTCTTAGGCCCACCCCAAATGCTCTCATCAGTTGAGATGCGTGTTGACGCCCATCCCAAGCCAGTACTGATCAACATCCCACCCCTCCTGTGACCCATGGTTTGTCTATATGTGTATTCAGAGCCAGTGAGCAATGGACTTTCAAAATAATAATAATAATAAACAAAACTGCGTTAATGCACGATAAAATAATTGTTGGCGTTAAGTAATGTGTTAACATGAAAATAACGTGTTGTCTTGCCCAGCCCTAATAATCAGTTAATAATTTTGTCTCTGAAATGTCCAAAAAAATTTAAAAATAAAAAGATTAAACTGTGCTCATCACAATTTCCCAGAGTCCAAGATGAAGTCTTCAAGTGCATTGTTTTGACTGATCACCTACCCAGAACCCAAAGATCTTCAGTTTACCATGATATAAATAAGAAAAGCAGCAAACCCTCACACATGAGAAATTGAAATCAGAAAATGTTTAGCATCTTTGCTGGATAAATAAGTGAAATGGTTAATGGATTGTCAAAACAGATGCCGATTTATTTTCTACCCACTGTAGACAATAAACGGTAAATGACAAGAAGACTCTGGCTGCTCACCAGTCCACTGAGCGCAAGGAGCCACATGAATGGACTGGAAGTCAACAGCTGAGGGGAAGAGCAAAAGAAAGAAACAATGAGGATCAGATTAGTTGGAACTCCTCCCACGAACAGTAGGATACAATGCAAAATACATGCCCTCACTAAGAGCACCTGCAGGCCTACTACGTAGACCAAAGACTTGTTGGTAACGTGGATCTGACCCAGGATCTGGGTGACTGGCATCCTGGGAATCGACAGGTAGAAAGGCACAAACAGAGAGAAGACTGGAGTGAGCCTGAGACAGGAGAAAGGGAACAGTATAGACAGAATGGAGACGACAGGAAAAGAAACAAAGACAAACATCAACATTTCAAATTTGCATTGACTGTAAAACTTGTCACAGTAATTTGTTTCACGCAGCATAACATAAATAACTAAAAAACTATTCACCAGACTTAAAAATAAACTGATGTTTTCCAGTACTAGTAATACTTCAGACAATACAGGACAGACAGCACTGGGTCTGGGATATAAAGCTTTTGGAACTACCTAAGCTCTGAAAAATAATGTATTATTTAACTAAGTTTACCAAGCTATAATATTTTCATCCCTTTTCAGAGATGCAGCTCATGCAGTAGTGAAGCCTGGCACATACTGTGGCTACTAAAGTGAGCAAACTACTCACAGTCCTGCAGGCAGTTCTTCCACCTCATAGTCAAACAGAAGCTGTACAGCCTGGGTCAGCAGGAGGTCTACCAGCACAGAGAGACACCAAGTGCCCAAAAGGAAGGACTGGAATTAAGAAGGCCATGATATATGATGGTTAGGACCTATCCATACCTAGAAACCAAAGTCTTGTCTATGTACAGTCATGTGAAAAAATTAGGACACCCTTTGAAAGCATGTGTATTTTGTAACATGTTTTAATATATGGTTATTTAATCTCAATTTTAACAATACAGAGAGATTAAAGTAATACAACTAAACAAGTAAAACTGAAGAAAAGTCTTTTCAAGATCTTCTGTAAATGTAATTCTACAAAAATGCCTATTCTAACTGAGGAAAAAGATAGCACACCCTAGCCCCTAATAGCTAGTGTTACCTCCTTTGGCTGAAATAACTGCAGTTAGACGGTTCTTGTAGCCATCTACCAGTCTCTGACATCGGTCTGAGGGAATTTTACCCCACTCCTCAATGCAGAATTGTTTCAGCTATGACATA